AGAATCAAACCTGGGTCTTCTGCATGGAAGGTGAGAATTCTACTACTAAGCCACCAATGCAATGTTCCAAGACACGTGGAGGTTTTTAGAATTAAGTACATACAGACGATGACATGTCACCAAATAGTACTATACCTTAAAGCAAATCTAGCTTTCATCAGATTGAATTCTCGGGAGAACCAAGTTGAAAGTGCCCAGGAGAATCATTTTGTTTTTTTGCATGAGGGGATCACAAAACCATCCTTCACATAGAGAGACCTCATTTTTTGAGGATTTTTTTTTTTTTTTTCCTTTTTCAGCTGGGCTGGAGATTTATCAATTTTACTGATCTTTTCAAAGAACCAGATTTTGGTCTCATTGATTTTTCTCTACTGTTATCCTGTTTACAATATCATTGATTTCTTGCTCTTATTTGTATTATTTCATTTCTTCCAGGCTTAAATTTATCTTCTTTCTTTAGTTTCCTAAGGTAGAAGCTTAGATTACTGATTTAGATCTTTCTTCTTTTCTAATATAGTCATTCAATGCTGCTATATATTTTCCTCTAAGCACTGCTTTTGCTGCATCCCACAAATTTTGATAAGTTGTATTTTCATTTAATTCAAAATATTTAATTTCTCTTGAGACTTCTTTGTCCCACATGTTATTTAGAAGTGTGTTGTTTAATCTCCAAATATTGGGAGGTTTTCCAGCTACATTTCTGTTATTAATTTATAGTTTAATTCCATTGTGGTCTGAGAAAATATTTTGTATGGTTTCTATTCTTTTATATTTGTTCAGGTGTGTTTTGTGGCCCAGAATGTGGTCTTAGTGAATGTTCCTTATGAGCTTAAGAAGAATGTGTATTCTGCTGTTGTTGGATGGAATATTCTGTAATGTCAATTAGATTAACTTGATTGACAGTGCTATTCAGTTCAGCTATATTCTTACTGATTTTCTGCCTGTTTGATCTATCAATTACTGAAAGAGGGAAGGTGAAGTCTCCAAGTATAATAGTAGATTTATTTCTCCTTGCAGTTCTATCAGTTTTTACATCCACATTAAAGACTGTTACGTCTTCTTGGGGAATTGGCCCCTTTATAATTATGTAATGCCTCTTTTTATCCCTGATAATTTTCCTTGTTTTGAAGTCTGCTTTGTCTGAAATTAATACAGCTACTCCAGCTTGCTCTTGATTAGTTAGCACGGTATCTGTCTTTCTCCATGCAAGCATTTGGTTTTATATCTCTTATAAGATGTGAACAAAGTGGTGTCATCAAGTCTCTTAACCAGTGTTCCTTTCTGCTCTCTCTCTCTCTTTTTTTTCTTTTCTTTTTACTCCTGCTATTTTAACAGCAGGTTACTCACTGAAATCAACCCTCCAATCTCCTG